TAGAGAATGCACCTAAGACAATAGCTGCTATTAATCCTTTGTGTGTATGTGTCTGTATTTTTAGGTATATAAAAACATGTTCTTTTCACTCCATGTCACTGATATTTCACACGTGTGGTTATACTAATAGTAATAGGCCTTGTGTCTGTATGAAGTGGTCATGCCCTGACATTGCTGAAAACTGTGGAGGGCCACCACTTTGATGTGATGGAAATGGATGAGCTCCCCCCGAAAAATCTCCAAAAAAGTTTCTTCCATGTCTCATTCTTAAAACTGTTGAGGGAGAAAGCGAATGCCATTTGTGAAAGAACACAGGGCAAAGGAGAAAGAGATGATGGGAAGGGAAGCTGCTGGGAATAGACCCAGCCAAGAGAATTCTGGAGGGTCCTGCTGGGTTGAGGACATTCCACAGAAGCAGCCTTTCTCATGACATTTGTCTCTTCTAGTACATGCAGCCCTGTGAGCTGGGGACTCCCCGGGGGACTTCTCCAGTAAAGACAAGATCACTTCATTTTTGGATGTCCTGTTTCTCGCTGGGAGAGGCAGCTCAGTCTCCCATCCTGGTCAGAGGCCACTTTGGCCAGGCTGAGATTCACGTTCTTCCCCTAAAGAAATCCAGTGTCTTTCCTCGCTGCCAAGAATTGTAGTCTTGGCAAATAACAGTGGAAAGTGTTGAGGGGCATCTGCGACATCGGATAGTGCCGGTTCATGATGTCTAGGAAGTGTCGCCAGGAGTTGGGGCAGCATTAGCCCAGGCTGGATCAGGAGAGGCCTGTCAACAAAGCTCAGATGTTGGGGAAGGCCAGCTGAGCCCTGGGTTACATGCTAGTGTCCATGTGATATTGTTAGAAAAGAGGCCAGATGGAGAAAGAGGAAGCATGGCTTCTTCCAGATCAGTCACTAAGAAGTTGTGATCAATAATGCTGAGAATGGTAACATCGATGATGATGGTTATGACAGATCAGATTAAGTGAACCCTTAATATGAGCCAAGTGCTGTGCTATATACCTTACGGGTGTTCTCTCATCAAGCCCCCTGTATCACAGGTATGATCATGATCCCACAGAGGAGGAAAGTGAGGCAAACTGTATAATCCAATGGCCCACAGCTGGGAAGGGGACAGAACCAGGATTTAGTCTTGGTTTGCCACTGTGTTACCTCTGATTCATTTTAAATTAGGGTTTCAATTTCCTCATCACCTGTCTGCAAAAAGCCATGGCTAAAGTTCCCATATTTACCCTCTGACATCCTTTCTGACTTCCAGTCTGGAGTGACCTCTGCCCTCTTCACCAACATGAGTGGTTAGTTTGGGATCAGAAGGATATACAAGCTGCTGGAGACAGGAGATGGGCTTCCAGCTGAACTTTTCACACAGATGAAGGCAATTTGGAAATTCCACAGCCCCTCCCTCTGTGACCAGCATGTAATCCGGGCCTGGAAAACATCTGGGAAGTGACAGAGACCGTTGGAGAATTCCAGGGGAGCAAGGTCATGCTATGAAAGGAGTGTACCACTGATGACTACAGTTCTATATTTGCTTTTTTTCCTTCAACTGGAGGACACCAGATTTTTTCCAGGCAACGTTTGGAAGGCTAGCATCTGATTACCTCAAATCAGGACAAAAATAGATCTTTGGGTTTAACGTATCCATTCTGACCCAGTAAAGAGAGAGGGTGAGGCACAGTCACATTTTATTCGTCTGCTTTTTGGAATTCGTAAGAGTTTAAAGTCATTGCTTTTAAACATTTGAAAGTTAAGAACAGCATTTACATTGGACGGCTTTATTCTCTTCATACTCTTTTTGGACAAGCAGTGTGGACCCAAAAAACATTCCTGAATTTAAGCATGACTCTGTGGCTCAGTTTGTTTTTTTTTAAGACATGGGAAATATGGCCCCTCACTGCTTCCATGGGAGTAGGAATTCACTGAACTTTAAAAACGAGCAGGAAGTAAACTATTAGGCTAAAAACATTTGTGTTTTTGCCAGTGACTCCAGCTTCTATTCTCTAAGGGCTCACGTCCAATACGTGGGCATCTCCACCCATGCCTTCCTGTCCAGGCCGAGGTGCTACAAGTGGGGAGCACACCTCGAGAACGCTCCCCCAGAGGTCACCGAATCTTCTGCCACCTGAGGTTCTTTGATGTACAGAATCCTGGCTTCCTGTTTATGTCACTGTGCCTGGATGGAGGGGTGCTCAGAAGTTCAATGCCTTACGTGAAAGCCACACAGCTGGTCCTTGGCAGATACACTGTTCTGCACAGTTCTTCAGTCTTCCATTGCGGAACAAGCGGCCATAGCCAAAGGGCCCACAAGTGGTTCTTGGCGCACGTGGAAAGATTGCTTTTACTTCCTATAACTTTTTCTTTTAGACAACCTTTCACATCCCAGCAAAGACCCTGCTAAGGGCCGTGGAGCTGGCCAGGCTCAGCACCTTACTGTTCAAAGACATTAAAGACTTAGAGGGCCTCCTGGCTACTGTCAGAGCTGTGCTCAAAGGCCTTACCCTGTGAGGCTGAGGAAAGAAGCCTTCAGCTTTAAACTTACATTCCCTTCCTAAAAACACCCAGGGTTTGCCTGCCTCAGTATTCCTTTTAAAGAGACGGACTCCCTTAAACACTGCGCGGGCTGCCGGGGGTTGCAGCAGCCGTCCCCAAACGGGCCTGCTGAGGGGCCATGGACAGATGGGTGGAAGATTCAAGTAGAAACTCTCCCACCATGTGCACATGCACGCACACAGGTTTTTTTAATAGTGTATCTGGGAGCACATGTCCAAGCCTCCCCAGGTCAGGCACTCAGAAGATGTATACAAGAATGTGCATAGCAGCACTATTTGACACAGAAAAAACAATGGAAAATGAGGCAACTGTCCACTGGCGGGAAGATGGACAACCAAAGTGTGGCACACTTTACACACTATACTATACAGCAGTGAAAATGGACCAAATACAGCTGCTTGTAAGAGCCTGGGTGAGCCAAGAAACACAATGTTCGCTAGAAAAGAGGCATGTTCAGAAAAGCGACATGCAGTGCGATACCCTTGTTATTAAGTTCGGAAATAAACAAAGCTTGTTTAGGCATTGCATTCGTGTGAGATTAATCTATTTTTTTTTAAAGCAGGGAAATGAGAAACACAAAATTCCTAGCAGCAGTTTCCTCCAGGCAGTAAAGCAGGTGAATGGGATAAAGGAGGTACACAAAGGTCAAGGGCAATTACTGGTGCTATTCTAGTTCTCGTCCTGAGTAATGGGGTTGTATGCTTCTATATCACCTCGTATTATAACTTAGGTACACACAGTTACATATATTCTATTATATGCATGAGATATTATAATAAATAATCTTATTATTTAATAAGATTAAAAAATAATCTATCTGTAGTTATGATGACTTACCTGGCTGATAGGATTCAAATTTAAGAGTTCAGAAGTTTAGACATTATTTAATCCAAACCCCTAATTTTGTACAGGCAGAAATGACTTCCAAATTGCAAAGGGACTTGGCCATGCATCTTCAGCTTTTGATTGACTGCAGAGATCAGAAGTCCTGTTTCATAACTCTTACTCCACAATTCCTCCTTCCATTCTCATCCCCCAAATTATTATTATTTTTTGCAGTGGTAAGTAAAAGCAGCATTTAACTGTCCTTAGCAATAACAATGAATGGAATAAATACCTCTGTTCCAGAAGAAAAGGTAAGAAACATGGGGATCATACTCTCTCAGCAAGCACCGTCACGTTCTCTCTGGCTGTGTCCTCTTTTGATGGAGAGCTTGGTATTGACCAAATTGTATCCATACTAACGCGTTAAGTTTGCCACAGCTCTGATCTGTGACTCTTTGCTAGCATAAAACAATGGCCACCTGGACTTTTACTGATGAACACATTTCATGTAAGTAAGATTTTAATAACATGTTAAACAAGCATGTGATGTAGACTTGAATCCAAAGGAAGGAAGAGAGTGTCGTTTTAAATGAAGTGTCAACTTTCATCAACAATTTAAATAAATGCTGACACTGGGGAAAAGAATTGCAGTGTATCACATCTATGTATTTTACTTATTTAAAAACAAATATTTGCCTCCTTCTCCCCACTGCAAGAAGAATGAGAGAAAACAATTCAACCAGTCCGAGCCACCCTCTTCAATCTGGGGGTGCCCCGGAATGGAAAAAGAGAACCTGCTGCCATTATTCTCTTGTTGGGTTTTCATTTATATATATCTTCCTTTGCCTGAGAATCTCATTATGCTATGTGATCCTACTTTTGAAGACCATGCATTTTATTTCTATAACATGACTGTTAAATGCTTGCCAATTCCTTCCATGACAATGATTTTTTTCCAGTCCTAGATTGGGACTTCCTGTGTTGGGCTTACTGAAAAACTGTATGTGTGTACACTATCTTTTATGAATCACTGAAGGAGTTTTTATAAACCGATAGTCATTGGAGCTATTCACCAAATACTTCCAGTTTTTTTCCTGGGCACCTAGTAAGGCTGAACTTCCCTGCCTCCTTGAAGTTCAGTAGAACTATGTCACTTGCTTTGGCCATTGAATTATGAGCAGAAGTGAGGTATGTAACATGTAAGAGTAAATGTAAGATTTCCCATGTTCTTACACATAAAGTCCCTCTCAGACTCTCTGAGTACAGATGACACTGGAAAAGAGTCCTCTGTCAACTTGTGATGGACGTGCCGCATAAGCAAAAATAAACCTTGGTTGTTTTAAATTGCTGAGATTTGAGGGTCAGTCCATCCATAATGGCTGATCCACAAGAATCATTTTGATTATACGCCATATTTGCCCAACTCACTAATTTTAGATCATAAGATGTGACTCCAGTATATAGCTAGACTTCCTAGAAAATACTTGGGAACGGCAGTTTTCAATCCTCAATTTTCTCCAAAAGGAATACTGGAGGCCCTTACTAGGGAGACAAGACTAGATGAAAATGGGAACTGAAAGCAAAGCAGACAGCAACCAAGAGAAATTGAAATCCACATTTATTGATGAGATATATATACATAAAAGTTAAAACACTTAGTGAAATCGTGGATTCACAGATTATTTCCAGTATAGAAAGAATATCCAGTTATTTTATACATGAAATGTTACAGTAATCAGTCCACATTGTAAGAAAGCTTAGAAAGCTAAAGGTGAAGACAAAAGACCTCAACTACCCAAAATGTGCTTTGCCAACAAGGCATTTCCTAGTATCATACATAACAAACAACCCACAAATTTAGTTGACGTTTTTACCTTTGTTCCTTCATTAGTCTTTATACACTATGTGCTATAGATGCTCTACGCTACATGACTTCAGACCAACGGGGATTGTGAATATGAGGAAAACAATCATTCTTATCTTTTATTCTGGACACACAAGACTCTTCAGAGAAAATCTTGCCCAAGGGCTAGCTTTCCTTCAGTAAGGGTTCTACCCTGAATTGGACAGAAGTTGGAGAAGCCACATTTTCAAGGAAAAGTGTGGCATTCCACCATGTATAGAGCTCTCACTTCAATCACTGGAGAAGCTGCTGAAAATTGACCTGCTTTGTGCCCTTAGGGGATCTCTTAGGCTTCACTCCTCTTGTGGAAAGAGAGGAGGCCCAAATGCACATGGCTGTTCTCTGTCCTTGCAGAGGAAAAGGGGGTTACGGGAACTATAGACCCCACAGCATCTCATTTAGTGATAATTAGACAGAATGCGCATTTTAGGCAGCAAGTGTATCATTGCATTAGTTAACGTCACCTCCAGTCACTCCAAACATGCACACAGAGCCTGCTAGACAGAGTTCATACTCCCTTCACGTATGTGGGATCTGTGCTTCATCAGTTGCCTTTCTGCAACCCCAAAGCTGTACACTGACCATTCCTGTGCTTCTAGGGCCCTAGCTTTCACTGACACCTGTGCAATTTTACTGCCAGAACTGTGCTTTTGTGGGGTTTGGCCCACATGGCAGCTAGTCAGGAAATATCTTTTCAGTACCATGACTCCAGAAACCAAGGGGGACAAGGCTCTTCTGAACCTTTAAGTCATGAGCATCATGATTGGTATTTGGCAATCAAAGAGGCAGACCTTTACCCGAGGACATGATGCTAACACACACAGAAGCAGACTAACCTTCTGTGTCTCTGAGCCCCATCCACCCAGCAGAGGAGGGCTGTAGATAAATGTCCTCATGTTAAACCTGGCTCAGCTTAGACAATCAAAAGTTCCACAGCTGCATTCACCATGCACTACACAGGTGGCAGATGACTTTTCACTGAGGACCATGGCCCACTAACTCTCCCTTGCTCTGAATTGCATGTCTACAAAGATGCTGGATGCATGCAAACTTCAATCATCGGTACAAAGAATCATGGATAAGTTTTTCACTGATATACGTCCCCATATCACATAAAGAAAAAGGAGAACGGACTCACTACTAGGTATCTGAAAAGGAAAACAAGGGTTTTCAAAACACCAGTCAAGAAGTCTACTACATTTAGATGAGCAGTCAAGAATAACATTTAAATTATATCTATGCACCATTTCACTGAAATTACACATAGATACCTACAGTATTGCTACACAAGTGCATAGGCACTCTTCTTCATGCGTGAACCAAGTGTTACTGTGTACACACAAGAACTTCATGCTTTGACAGCTATCTGTACTTGGAAATCACAGATACAATCGTTGCCAGTTGAGGGAACTTCTAATCTGTTTGTTTAATGAGGAGCAAGCTCAAATATATCCCAGTACACTTACTATGTAAGTGACTACATCTTAAAACATGGCAAGAATACTAGCCCTATAAGCATATTGGAAAGTGTGCTTGGTGGAAGGAACTGGGCTGTCTCCAGTGGAAGGGGAGGCGTGTTGCTACATGGACTCCAGGGCCAGTGCTGACTCTGCAGAGCAGTGGGGTTTTATTCTCAGCACACCAGGGCCCTATATACCCGTCAGAAGGGCTTTTAAAGATATCTAAGTGGATACTTGGTCTGGAGGTAGGAAGGTGGAAGGAAGACCCCCTTTGAAGTGGCTATTGATTTGCCTTGGGAAAATGGCATAGGTTGTTATTCGCCCGAGGACAGAATCTTCCTGGGCTGCTTCTAAACAATTTCAGTATGACTTTAAGCTCCTACCTATAGCCCCAGGATTGCTTCATTTTTTTTTCCTGAAAATATGTGTCCAATTCACATAATGATGTGACATTTATTACCAATTTTCTTGGCAAGAATGAACTGAAATACATCTGTCCTGATTTGCTTCCTAGCACTAACCTCAAATCTCAGCAGTTCGAATTTTCCCAAGCCAGTTTTTACATAAATCATTAAGAAGGCATGGGAGACTCTGGGATAGAGATGATCCTGCTATTATCACCTTCTTTTCCAGCATCTTGGAGAAAAGTATAATTCGAATGCTTAACTGGAAAAACAAGGCCTGGTGTCAAAAAGAAGAAGTCAGCACCATCCCTGGAGTTACAAAGACTAGCTGGTAAGATGTATATCCTAAGGGATTTAAGGATTCCTTGTTCTTTATGGTCATTTTGTTCATTGCATCATGAAGGACTGGATCCCTGCATTTTTTAAATGTGGCTCAGGAAACAACTGATAGCTCTAAATTGCTGCCGAAACTTCTTGTGCGGTAATTGGTTATAGTTCTACATATGTGGTTATATAGAAAATACCATAAGAAAATATCTGTCTGCAAAATTACAGATACTAAATAGAGGAATTCAGTCTACACTGAGTTCTTTATGATTTATGAAGAATAGATATAAACCTGTAACATTACTAAAGGCTAACTCAATATTAAACATATAATATCCAGGACTATAAATACATTTTCTCATGCTCTTTATAAATAATAATAGCAAAGAAGCCCAGGGATTTGTTTAAAAAAAGAATATAAGATTGGGCTGAAGGAATTTGTGAGTTTGGGGTGCAATACTGACTGAGGGCAATATATTGGCTCTAGTAGCATAGATTCTTCTCAGGAAGCCAAAATATATCTGCTGGCAGCAAGCTCAAATTAGATTCACAGTTTGCCAGCTCTCTCCTCAAGCTGTAGAAAACAAATAGAAAAACAATATACAAAAATCCTCACAAAAGTAGTTTTTTTATATACAAATCTCTATAGTGACCAGATAATCTGGTCTGTGTTGTGCAATGTGGAGAAATAATGCTGAGGTTCACCAGGGGAAGGAGGAAGGGAGCGAGTGCGGGGGATTTGTGGAAAGATCCGGGTGTCTAAGGATGAGTTCCTGGTGGGGAATATACTCTTCTGGAACACTGAGCGACCAGAGTGCCAGCTTCCTGATCTTCCATCCCAGGGAATTCACTCCACAGGGAGAAGCCTCAGAGACACACTCGACTGCCTTCCTCGGCTCGTGTGTGCATCTCTCCTACCGAAGGCAGCAGGCCGTTTTGGAGCCAGGCTAAATGGTTGCTGCGAGAAGAAATGGAGCCCCAGGAGGAGCGCGGCTCTGATTGCATCATCCCCATCTCTGTGGGGGACGATGACAAAGGTGTCAGTGACCTGTTACGTTCCATCACTCACCCAGGAACTGGGGTGTCTCCAGCGGAAGTGGAGACTTATTGCTACCCACACCCTAGGTCCAGTGCTGATTCTGCAAAGGAGTGGGTTCTGTTCCAGTAGCAGGTTTTATTCTCAGCCCAGGAGGTTCCTATACAACAATCAGAAGGGCTTTAAAAATATCAAAATGGACACTTGGTCTGGAGGTAGGAAGATGAAGCAAGGCTGGACACAGCAAAAAACCGATTAGTAATTATTCAGAATGTTATGTAGAATGAATGAAATAAGAACCAGGGGGCTTCTCTTACTTTTTTACAAGTTCATATATGGGTCAGTTAAGGAATAATCTTTTTCTTGCTGCTCTCACATCAGGTCTTCTGTACTAAAAATGTAATGATAAAAAAAGCTAACCCAATCCTTTCAGTTCTAGTTTTATATCTAGTTACCCCGAATCTAAAGAGCTGAAGTCTTCTCTAGTGGTAAAGGTGCTCACAACACAACACACATCAAATCTATTCCATATTTAGCAACAGTTTGGACAAAGGGCAAGGATGCAAGCAGCGGCTCACTGCAGCAGAAACAGGAAGTACAGCAGGTTGTTCAAGGCCATAGCTGGTAGCATGTACCTCACAGACAGACCACACAACCTATCCATCCTAGAAACTCTTCGGGCATTGGCGAGGGCAGCGACAGCCAGCCTGACTCTATTCTTGTCAGAACTTTTCTACCTGTGATGGGATGCAAACCAAGAGGAAAACTGGAAAACGAATTCAACCAAATACCCCTGTACACCTCTCCAGGGAAAGGACTTGCCTCAGGCCCTGCTGCGCATGGGCTGTGCGTGTCTGTGCACAGGAGGGGAGGGAAGGCATTCACAGACCATTGCTGTTATTGTGTAAGTCTTGCACCAAATTTCATAAGACTGTTCAGTTTATTTGCCAATGGCTCCCAGACTCCCATACTGGGTTGGCAATTGGGACTGTTGAAGAAAACTGTGTTTTGGGTATTCGAGTGGGCTCTGTTGCTATAGCAGGAATGATGCAAGAGCTCAAGTGAGGCTGTAGATGCATCCAGTCCTCTTATGATGACTCTGGCAGTATTTTTCCCTGAGCTGAATTGCTACTTTGACTAGGACAGTGAGTTTAAGTAAAGAGCAGTTTTATAAAAGTATGTCTGTTTGTGTTCCAAAACACCAAGTAGTAGATTAACGTGGCCATCTTCCAAGCTTGTAAAACATCAATAATGAGAGAGGCTTGAATTTAATTTCTCCCAAAGGGGATGAGAAGAATCCAAATTGATTAGTCATTATTGTGGGCCTCTCTGACTTAAAGTATAAAGTAATATTTTATAGTAATAAGCCTCTTAGGAAAAAGAAAATTAAAGCGGAGATCATAATATCATGGGTTCTCAGGGCTGGAAGCTGGTTTTAATAATTTAATCCAACTCTCTCCCTTTATGTATGGGAAGGAATGAAGTTTGGGCATAAAGCAACTTGCATAAATTATACAGCTGACGACTGGCAGAGTCTAAGTCACGTGTTTCCTCTACCCAACTGTTATTTCTCACTGTCTGTGTGGCATTACCTGAATTAGCTGCGTTATGCTATAAAATCAGATACTATTCGATGAGGATCCCCTGTCATCTATTCAATCACCAACCCTTACACTCGCTTATGGTCGTTTACAAAACCGTCTCTTCAGCAGCAACAACGACATGTGGAATAAGAAGAAAAGAGGCAAAAGAGTAAGAAATGGGGCTTTTGTTTTGGGAAAATTATAAGCAGCTTTGAACTTACTTCACTCAAGAAGAGCAGTCTGCCTATAATGCAGCCTGCTCCAGATGGCACTCAGTAGCCTTCCTTCTAGGTGTTAGCCAGAAACTACCGCAGATAAGGAGACCACTACTCTCCTATGACAACTGGAATTACAAAACTCTCACTTTAGAATGACTTCAGGCTCTCAGCTTCATCTTCCCAGGCTCCCAGGCCCTACTACTATTCAAAGAGCAAGTATTACAATCACTGAAAATTTCCACGTGGTCCTTTGTCTCATCTTGGGATGAGGTCATCTGGAGAACAAGCGAAGCAAAAGCAGCGACCCAGACAAGTGCATGGACCCACGAGTTTGACAGCAGTGATGGGGAAGAGCTGCCCCCACTGGGTGTAACTGCTGAGCACTTTTAGTGATCAAACCAGGCAGGAGCTGCTGAGACTTGTTCAGCAAGTGAGAGCTACGGTAATTCTCTCTGAGCTTGTGCATACTTATTTGAACTTACTGCTATATTCCTGGGAAAATGTAGCTCAGACAGAAGCTCTAACTCTGACAAGAGTGAAATATTGTACCTTAACTTTTGCTATGGAGAACAGAGGGAAGTGTGGTATTGCAAAAGCATGGCAGGGTTGGGCTTCCTTTTGGGGACCCAGTAGGTGAGTTGCCCAACTCCGGAAGGGCTTCTTGACTTTCAACACACATGAAAATGACGTACTTCCCAATCCACTAGTAGAAATGACCTGAGGCCCTCAAATCACTGGGTCATGGGATTGCTGGCATTATCTACCAGGAGAATATCTGCCCCAAACTGAATTTCCCATAAGCCTTTCTCAGCTTCCAGCCTAAATCCAGGCACAGGCATCTTGGTATCCTTGCTTTGGGTTTGCAAACGTCCAGGCTAACTAGTAGTTGGAGAACAGAAGTAAATATGTGTCTTTCACGAGACATGGTTAACTTCCACAGGAAACAAGACAATGGGTGGTGTTTCTACACCCAGTGGCCTGGAAGGAGTTGAATCTGAGAGCTACCTGCCTCGGATGTCATTACCTGCAGTCCTATATTGAGGTTCTCTGTGATCTATGATTGCCTTGATTCTCTGGTGCGCTTTGCATGGGAGGGAAGCACATCCTCAAATACCTCAGATAAAGCCTTATCTTGAGAGATAAGTCATTAGGTCTGCTACATAGAATTGTTAGTAGGTAATCTAATGATAATTCTCCTTGGGTTTCCCATGGGCAAAAATAAGATAGGGAAGGATTAAAGTCTGCTTAGCTGGTTTTCTTCTGAAACAGTTCTGATGCTTAAAAGGAGTAAATGTGTTTATAACAAAATGGTTTTGCCAAAGCCAACTTACAAACCTTAGAGAATGCATTGTATGTATCTGGACTGCCATACCTGTAAATAAATACAACATGTATGCATCATCAAATAGTAGTGGATGATTATAAGCATTTATATCTGTGTTGGAGCTATTAATATCAATCTAGGTATATTGCTGGCAGGTCACACATGTCCTACTTAGAAAAAGTTGTAAGAGGTATACCCTGGGTCTATGTGTTCTGTTTATGGCACGTATACGGGGCAAGGAAAACCCCAATGCACGGAAGGAGAAAAATGAACGAGGTCAAAAAAAAATCAACGGACAAAGTCATATGTCAGCTCTACATGCATCCTGGACTGTCAGGCTTGTCTTGAATTTTAGAAAGTGTTCATTTTTAATGTGATTAGTTGAATCCAGATTAAATATGATATTTTAAGTATATTCTCATGGAACTTATTGCATACAGTCTCAAACCAGAAATATCCACTTTGTTAAGCTGTGCACATTGTTTCTTCTGAACACACTGTCCCCTTATATATTTATAAGCTAGCTGGGTGGCTAGGAAAGAGTTGAAAACAAAGCAAACGAAGAAGACATTTAAGTAGAGTCATGGGAAGACGGCCCTTAGACTACCCCTTTAAGCATGTATGTGTGTGCGAAGCTGGCCTTAAACAGCAAAGCCCACAAGCTCCTAGCTGCCTTGCTGAGCTCTTTCTCCTCTCACAGAAAAGCTCCTGTGAATGCCACTTACAGACAACCCTTAACAGTTTCACAGCTGAATCCAGGAACTGTCCCCTTGACCCACAGCATCTGCTGCAAAGGATACAGTTCCCACAACTACAATTCAACACATCCTTGGCCACCCGACGTTAACTGTCCATCAAATGACAATAAAAACCAATGCCATCTTTTAAAAGCAAAACTCTGCTTAATGCTGCCCCATAATGATCCTTAACCAACATAACCAGGGCTTGAGAGACAAAAACAACAACAAAAAGAAAACCTGAAGTCTCGTGTCTTTTGTATGACCCAAAGGTGTCTGATTTGGAAGGGAAAAGTCACAAGGAGTAGGTAACGAAGGGTACGTGATATCCATGAATAGCCTATCTTTGGGGAATTTAGATTCTGTTCCTGGTTATCTCAGCATCCATCTGCTGGCCTCAGAGGACCACCTGACTCCCATGTTTGGACCTACGTCCCACACATGCCTGAGGGTCAGATGTGATTTATTTCTCCATGATCCGTGTTCACATCCTCAGCAAACTCCAAAAGCCAGACACCTTAGAAAATGACTATGGGTTATTCAACAGAAAATGATAGTAGAGACACTGAAAAACTTTAACTTACACACTCATTCAGGACACGTTGGGTGTCTACAGCACGCAAGGCACGGTGCTACTCCAATGACATCATTTATGCCCCAGACTTTGGCAGCCTTGATAGCATTCCACTGTGAAGTTGCGTGGAACCATCCTCTGTTCCCACTTCACAGTTCAAAGCTGCCTGGACTTGGCCATAGGAATGTCACCTTTTTAGAATTTTGCACATGTGCTTGTTTTCCGTTCCTTTCTACGGAGGAGATGGGGGAGGAAGGCTGTTTCTGCTTCCAGCTGTGTCCTGCTATTGGTTTTATGTGCTTTGATAGAACACAACAAACAGCTTTCTATAATACATATTAGATAAATGACAGCCTTCCGATTTATCAAGAGACAGTATTAAAAGAGGCATAGTCAATTCAACTTTCCCCCACATATAAGGAGAGAGAAATGGTTAGGCCTTCTGGTTAACTGAGAATATGAAGGAAATAACTTGAGGATCCAAAATGTCTTTTTGTTAGAACCCTAGCAAGAATTCTATGGGTGAAACAAGTGGAGCAGAGATGATCTCTCTTGATTTCACTATAGCAGATGAATGCAAACCAAAGATAAATGAATTTGAATATTTGAATCTGGTCAAAATTTATGCTGACTATGTGCTCCCTTACACAATATATACAGTGGTTCTATGCAAATTACATTCTAATCCATTATCACATTTAGAGCAAATCATGTAACACACTGTGAAATTTCAATAACAAATGTCCACAGACTAGGTAGGACAGAGCAGAGGCCCGTGGGTTCCAGCTGTCTTTAAGACTATGGCTCCCACTACCACCCTCTGAAACATTTAGCTCAAAGAGCACATGGAAGAAAAATTGTCACAGTTCCCCTAGACAGGTACTTGCTTTTATCAACACACGGGCAAACTCTACAAGACATTGAAGGAAAACTACTTCTAGAGGCTTCTGACAGACTCTCTTGTGCATAACAAGGTGAAGCATGGAGAACACACAAATGACACACTCGGGTGTCTGCTCATCATCCCAAGTCCCTGGAGTGTTGTGCTCTGGTCACATTCCCCAGGAAAAGAGCAGCCACAGTTCTGCATCTTGAAAGAAAAGGGAAGCTGGCAAGAATGCGTCTTCAATTCAAACCGATTCCTCCAGCAGCATCCATTCCGACAATAATACAAGTGAGAAAATTAGACGGTTACGAAGCATTATTTGGCAAAGACAGCACCATGCCTATCACTGACTCACAACAGATCTTCTAAGCCTCAGCTAATGGATTAAGTAAACATAGAAACACATGTATTTTTTTCCTTTTGAAAGAAAGCTTGTTTATATCCTCTGTTACCATAAGATACGCTGGGGATTTTATTCAAGAACTTGCTGAGGGTCATATATTCTCATTTTTCACGTTTCCAAGGTTCTTCCTCAACACTGCCGTCTGCTGACTTTCCGTTGGCTGCCAGAGTTACCTGAAAATAATTATCATCAACATCCAGCTTACAGGCCTCGAACCAGAAAAGCACCCTGTGGGTCATGTGGAGGAGCACAAGATCCAGGTTAGACTACACGACTCCAACATTAGTTTTAAATGTGGTTCCTCACAAATGGATTTTGAGCTGGTCTTGGTTCTCAACACTGGTTTGTGAACATTAAAAAAAATAATACTTATTTGCCTTGGGAGTTGACATTAGGAGTTGATGTGGAGACACTTGGAAATTTGGGAGGATAACTTTTGATATGCTTTTGGGGTAGTGGGGGTGTTGGACTACCCATAGACCCGTCACACAATAACGCAGTCTTTAAACAATAGTGCCCATGTGCTACTCCACACAACCACAGAGAAAAAACATCCCGAACTAAGCAGCTAGTTTTACTCATGCATATGAAAGGTTCAGTTGCAAGGAGGCCAGGTGAATTTCATGCATGTGCAATTTTAAAATCAGATAGCATGATGGTTGGATACCAAATAAGGTCTGCAAGCTTTAAAAATTAAAACTAAAAAGGGGGGAGTGAATCCTCAGATCAGGGACACGGACATGTAAATGACTCCAATGCAGACATGTAGTAATCAAATATAATCACCAGACTGTCTGTACACTGCTTTCCTGGCTCTAAGCAAACTGAACCTTACACAGAGTGGGAGGCTTTTCCCTCTGCTTCTACGGTGTTCCTAGCTTACCTTCCATCTGTCTGTCCTCAACGTCATGTGCAAACTTAAACCCACGACTGATATTCCACATAATGGAGAGACTGGATTTATGGAAGCATTAGAATATGGAGACATGACAAACGCAGCAATGTTTGAGAGAAATCTGACCTTCTTACCCAAGAGGAAGTGAAACGCATGCGTCATGAACATACACAACATGCAGGGAACAGAAAATCAAGTGCCCCTCATGAACCAAGCAAATGAAAATAGAAATTAGTCATTCCTTCAGTCCCCATTAGCCCCCAGGTTTTTTTTTAGAAAGATCATGCAACAAGCAACGACGACCTCACATGCAGTTACTATGATTAAAATTAAAAAGTTATTGTATAACTTTCAAACTACTATCACAAGGCAAGAATTTGAAAACAGAGAGACCAACATGACATAACAATGCTCATCGCAGTTAAAGTTTTGACCAGAGCTGCAGCAAATTTGTTTCCCCTTCAGTGAACTGTCAGGAGAGACATCCAGAAAAGAACAAACTGTCTGCGTGGAGAAAGCTGCCCATTCACCCTGACCTTGAATGTGCCTATTTGGCTTTCAGTGATGAACCAGATCCATAGCTGTGCAAAACTATAACTCACAGTGTGGTGCCTTTGCAAAACCAGACAGCACTTGGGGGACAGGGCTGTTCTTTTTTTTTTTTTAATGATGTGTCCTGTGTTTCAAAAGTAGCTGGGAGAGCAGCTTTTTTGGCATTTCTTTTCTGGCTGGGTTAAAGCAGTCTGGGACTCGACTCCCTGATCCATTCCACCCCTTCTGCTCCAACCACCTCAGTAAGAGAAAAGCAAAAACAGGGAGGGAACTGTCAGTAAGCATTGATGTCATCCATCTCAGTTTATAAAACAGTGAGACTAAAAATGGGCCAGAAGGAAATTCAAAGGCATGAATAAGTGTGATTCAGCTATTCTGGGAAAGTGTGCTAATTCATCTCCATAGATCTGGCTGCCTCCTCACATTAGTGTCCACTCAGTTGGTCTAGAGCAAGAAGAGTCAATTTGCCTCACCTAGTAAAGGCTGGGGGCCAACTAAACTTCACTGAGCTGAACCCAATCACTTCACTAACAGAATGCAAACAGCCAAAATAGTTGTGAAAGCAATATGGACATTTCATCCTTTCCATGACCTGCTCAGTTTCACCATTTGACCATCTAAATGCTAATTCACCAAGGAATTTGCAGGTGGTTGGTTGGGTAGTCAATTATGGAGAAAGACTAAGCCACTATCTCTATGCAACTGTTCAGCCAAAAAAAATTACCCTGAATTAAAGAATAGGGGCAAGATGCTAAAAGGGTACATCCAACAAATATTTTTGGAGTGCCTACTGTATGCTAGACTCTGCTTCAGGTGCTAGGACACAGCAGTGACAAATAGTGACACAGTCCCTCTCTTGACAGGCTTATTTCCCACTGATATAGACAGTTGGCAAACGTCTCCTTTTAGAACTTAAACAGTCTTGCTTAAAAAATAAAGCAATCTTCTCCTGATGTACTTGATGTGCTTTGAGGAAAAAAATCCAGGAAGTCTGAAATCTAAGACATCTTCATGCCTATACATCTTCTTCTTCAAAACATGTCTTACACAACATTGTTAAGCCTTTTGAGATACTCCAGAAGAATCACAACACACAATTAACCACTAGGATTGTTCTTCTACATAACTTGCAAAATTAAAAAATGTATATGATTTCATTTTGTTTCATACTACTATGTTTCCTTGAACAGCAGTAATTTTGGATCACGCCTATCACCACCACAAAATCGTGCTTTCATTTGCCTGTTCTCTCGCGCCTAACTCAGGGCTTTGCAGATAATGGCCACTTAATAAATGCTTGGTGAATGATCCAAATGTAGGTGGCCATAGGAATGAGATTGGAGTGCTCAACTAAAGCTCACAAGGCACACAATAAACAGTGAATATAGTAGAGCATAAAGTCATTCCTCGGAAATGTTGACACTTGTTGACCCAAACTAACATTTTAATGGGACATAATCCAGCACATTTATGTAAACATGAGAAATACTAACTTTCTAGAAGAATGGAGTGTACTCTTTAGGTATATCTGAATTTTTTAAAATTTAAATCATTTTCACTGAGTCAATTAATTTATGCAATTGTCTCTTGATGGGTGGGAGTCTCTCCCTGGTGGGGTCCCTCCCTGACTTATATGAGAACTCTGGTTCACCTGTACATGCACCTGACACAGAAGGATGACCAAAAGGCTGTGGTTGGTCCACTAGCCTTCTGGGCCTAAGTAGCAGTTCAGTAGAGAGAATCGTTTCTGTGTCATCCTTAGTTGCCTGGCAGAAGCTGCCATGTATCTTGAAATCATCCAGAAGTAACACAGAAAGAAATCAACTATTAAGTGAGATCTTGTCACCGTTACTCGTGTGGGTCAGTGGACTGAGCACCATCCTGTAAGCCAAAAAGTCACCAGTTCAACTCCCAGTCAGGGCACATGCCTGGGTTGAGAGCCAGACCCTAGTTGAGGGCATGCGAGAGGCAACCAATAGATGTATCTCTAGCACATCAATATTTCCCTCCCTCTGTTTCTCCTGTCCTTCCCCTCTCTCTAAAAAATAAATAAATGAAATCTGAAATGAGATCTTGTCAACAGGAGTCAAAAGGTATCAAAAATCTGTGTTGGGTTCCAATTGTCCTCAGATACTGCCTGGAACCATTTTAGCACCCTAACCCCCAGGGTTGACTCTGCTCACCTGCCAGGGTTTCTCCAAGTTTGCTTCACTCTGGTCATGACACTCTGTCTTTGACAATGTCAAGTTAGTTACAGTGAAGGCTGGAAAGAGCCTATCAAGCTCAAAAACTTAGCACCCAACAGCTTGGAAGGGTCCAAAACACCCCTGCTACAGGAAAGATGGGGCTGCCAGGCAGTGAGAAGTATTGTGTTTTTTAGAAGACATCTATGGATGATTGTCCCAAAAATTAGTTATCCTTTACTTGAAATTTTCCCTAGACTTGGAGCAAAGTGACTTCCAGGTCAAAACTCACATTCTCAGAAAAAAAAAAGAAAGACAAAGATAGCTGCACGGCTATGTGAGCACATTTTTTGACCGATACGTGATACGCAGCAAGAGGGAATACTTGTGCTAAAAAAATCAAGTGATGCTGGGTATTTCTCTTGGTACTTCACTAGAGGAACAGAAAATCTGAAAGCCAGCAAAATCCTAGAGACTGTAAATTCTTGGGTAAAATATTCAAGAAAACCAATCAGATTTGTGGAGCGGGTGGATGGGGGGAACCGGAAGGACAGTTTTACATAATGTGGATGAAAGAAGTAACCGATTGGCTCTTTCACTGTTAGACCTGTTGATTTCCAGCCATGTCAGACACAGAGTTACATGATCTCGGAACCACAGACATTTGGGTTACACTATTTGTTAGAAAAACAAATGTGACAATAATACATGCAGGGCTTTGGTGTTCATTTTAACAAATCAAGCATGCACTGTTATATACAGGTCTCAATATCCATGAATGGGAAAGGTACCTTGCACTCATCTACTATGACAGAGTTGTGTGCGGCATAGACACATTGACTAGAGTTGCTTTCCCTATGGTTCTTCATGTCATCATAAATGGACTGAGTCTTGGTCATTTCAATATCTTCATGCACACGATGCTGAGAGTCAATGGTATCCAGCTCGGACTTGGAGAGGTGATAGACAATCCCAGCCCCAAAAGAGTCACCCACCACATTGACTGAAGTTCTCATCCTGTCCCTGGGGACAAAGAATAGAAATGTTTAGTGAGGAAGCAGAATGCTATGGTGCTTAAAAGGTCAAGGCCTAGAACCAGAGACCTAGGGTTGAGTTCTCTACCTTTCCCTCTGCCTGATCTCGGGCAGGTTGCTTAAACTTGATTTCCCTGTTTGTCAATTGGAGATAACATCATAGTTTTCTCATAAGCCTGTGTGAAAATTAAATGAGAAAATGTATGTAAATTGCCCAGAAAATTGTCTGAGGAAGGTAAGCGCCCAATAAACAATAGTAAAGAAGGAAGAGGGGAAAAGGAATGATTAGGGAAAAATAACATGTCCAAGTTTTAGAATTAGTATCCCGACTCCAGACACTGTTGGCTGTGTCTGTCAATTCTTGATTTAAACTGTTTGTAAAATACTGTACTTTGAAGATAACCTCCACTTACATTATATTTATATATTTATAAATGTATAAATATTCACATACACTTACATTTACATTTATATATTTATAAATTCTACAGGAGAGACCTATCACCTGTGAATTCTAATAACAGAAAATTCATCCTTTTGAAAGAATCAAAACTAGCCCTGGCTGGTGTAGCTCAGTGTATTGAGCACAGGCTGTGAACCAAAGGGTCATCAGTTCAATTCCCAGTCAGGGCATATGCCTGGGTTGTGGGCCAGGTCCCCAACGGGGACCACGTGAGAGGCAACCACACACTGATGTTTCTCTCCCTCTCTTTCTCCCCGCTTCCCCTCTCTCTAAAAATAAATTTAAAAATATTAAAAAACACAAAACTAACATTTCCTCCTTGTTGCACCCCAGTCACCTCACAACAACAACAAATGCACGGACATAACTATTGGGCAAGAAACCCAGCCACAGGTTTCCTCTTAACCAATGTGTAGTGACTGTGTGTTCTGGAAAAGCCAAAATATCTTGCTCTCTTTATTAACCTAAAAATATAAATCAAACAAACAAACTTCCAGAGTGTCTTTTGAACAAGAAATTGTTAAGAAAAATCCTTCCTCAAATCTTGTTTTACAAGTTCTGATTTGAAAAAATAGGGAGGTTCATAACTCCCCCTCTTAATTAAGAAAACTAATTAAGTGCTTCAGAGTAAGCTGTGCTTTCTCATCCATAAGTTGAAATCAGTGTGAAGAGTCCTTTTGACCACGTTGATGAGATACTGAAAGGCCTAAAGAGAAGAATGCTGAAAAACCACACCCATGTTAAAGGAAGGAAGGAAGGAGGAAGAATTTTTGGTAAAGATTGTGCTGAGACACCTTAGTCCAGAACACACACACACACACACACACACACACACACACTATACATACATACATATATATGAATTAAAGTCAAAGTAGGAACATTAATGTACATATCACACACACACACACACACACACACACACACACACACACACACACAAAGTAACAAAGGCCTAAAATAAATTCCAGTTGCTATCATCAAATCTATTTCTCACTAGAAAAATAATAGTAATGAAGCAACACTAGGAGGAGTCTGGTGTGGCTTCCTTCAAGGAGCTAGTGAGCCAGCTGTCTTGGTTTCAAGTGGGAAGATGGTATCCATGAAAAAATAAAGATCTTAGCCTGAATTCAACTCTCAGGAGCACCTCTCCACACGAGACTGCTCTTCTCTTCTTTTCTGCTTTGGAGAATCTGCCTCAGGGTGACATGAATGAAGACTGAGTCTTGAGGTCATTCACAAAATCAGGCACTTGTAGATATTGCTAAGAAGCTACAGTATAAGGGTATGAGCAGAAATGCCTGACAGTCGTTAAGAAAAAGCATGGACTCCGGAAGTAGCCTGACTTGGATTCAAATGCCAGCTCTTTTCCTTACCCATTGGACAACCTTGATCATAGTTAACATTTGTGAGCCTAGTTGCTTCATCTCTCAAGTGGAAATAATAAAAATGTCTACTACATTAGGACTGTTGCGAAGATTAAATAAGATAGTGTTAGCCGTTCCAGACATTTAGTAAGAACTCACGAAACATTAATTATTACATGATGTGTACTTTTAACTTTAATATAAATCTCAAGTCAATTAAGATATATTTCTGACAGCTACTAAGAACATGCCTAGCTAAGCTACTATCTTCCTTTGAAAACATTAACCCTGTTTATAGGGCCATTCATTGGGCAGCATCCCCAACCAGCTAGCTGAGTTATTTATCCACCATACAGGTGTGGTCTGCTTTGTTGCTTTTCAGCTATGCTTCCAACCCCTCTTGGCATGTGTTCTGAGTTATGCACCCAATACCTCTGACCAACTGTTATGACCATGAGTAGCCATTCATCTGATGGACCAGAAGAACCTGCCTTATTAGCAAGAAGAGCAATCAAAAGTGGTAATGGTAATGATGATAACGATAATATGTATAGGGATATGCTTTCTTTATATTACCTTATTTAATCCTCACCACAACTCTGTAAGAAGTACTACCATCCACATTTAAGAGATGAAAACACTGAGGCCCAGAGAGATTAAATGGTTCCACAAAGTCACCCAGCCTAGTAAGGTCATAGAACCAAATTTGAACACAGGCAGCATAACTCCAGAATTCATGACCTGCCACAAGACACAAAGCATCTGGGAGCCATTAGCTCTAATTTTTTAATTTAGCTCAGCCACTTACTAACAGTGTGATCTGGGCGACTTCTCAACCACAATTTTCCTTATGCAGCCAAAACACCTATTTTACTGGATTTGGAGGAGGCAAAACCAGTTTCTGTCCCAGAGTTGATAACCATTACAGGCTCCTTTCCTTTGGGGAATAACCATCACTCATACCCTATCATGTGGGCAAAAGCACAAAATACTGTACTCAAGGGTCAATGACTTCTTCATATTAATAAATCTATTTCCACTCAAATGGGTAACACAAGTTTATAAACTCCTGTTTCCTAAACCCTTGACTTTCTTTGATACTGAATTGCTACTCTCCTACGCAACCACTTAACTCACTTTGGAATAGAATTTCTGGGTGAGCCTTCCCCGTATTCACTCACTGCTCATATCTCTTCCATACTCTAAGATTTCCTTGAACTTGAAAAGGAATTCTGGCCAATGGAAATAGCACCAGGACAGAATTGAATGAAAGGCAAGAGTTGGGTAGAATCAAAGCAATCAAAGAATATTGATGTTTGATTGACACCAAAATCAAGATGGAAAGGGCCCTGAACTTAGGGCTAAAACTCTATCCCAGATATCCTGGTTCTCTTGCCTTGAGCAAACCACTTTTCACCTGAGCATGAAATATGGAACGTGGCTAATCCCAACCTTGCAGGAGGTTGTGAGGGTCAAATGAAATGAGAGAAACATTCCACATGCTTTAAGTACCCATTAAAGATGGCAGAGACACATAAGCATAAAAATGGCTAAGTGGAAAAAAGAAGAAAACATAGATTCTAATACTTGTTGAGTTCTTTGTTAGTCTGTTCATTCATTCATTCACTGAACAGATGTATAGTGAGCATCTTGGTATGTGCAGGGCATTATGCCAAGTGTCCAGGCAGTAAAAAACAAGCAAGGACTTTTTCCATGCTCTCTTTTCCCCAAGAACCCACACTCTCTTTATTTGTCAGTATCCCCCGCTACAATTAGATAAATGATCTAATAGCAATGAGGGCTGGGTGGTATGGAATTTTGTAGGTAGGACATTTTATCTATCTTTGGGCCCCAGGAAAGGCTTGAGTAGAAATATCTTGAGTTATATTCTAAGGATAAGTCTGAGACAATGCATTAAAGAGAAGAGAAAAATAGCATATGCAATATTAGAGGCAGGCACACTCAGGAGCATTCAGGATGGCTAATGAACACAGTGAAGGGCAGAAAGTAAGAACTGATCAAATCCTGTAAGGGCTTATCAGCCCAGTTGAGGAGTTGGGACTTTATCCCAAGTGTAATGAGGAGCCACTTGAAGACAAAGATCACACTTGTTCCATTATGAAGAATGGACTGAAGAAAGGTAAGACAGAAAGAGCAAAATCCATTTAGTGAAGAGGTGATGGATATGGAGCAAGATGAATCTCAGAGACATTTAGGAGACAGAATTACAGGACTTGAAGACTGATTGGTTATAGAGAATAAAAGAGAAAAGAGTCAAGAATTCCTCTCAAGGTTCTGGTTCAGGCAGCCAGTGGACAGGACTGCCATATCTATGGGGCATAACTGGTTGGGGCGGGAAAGATTCTGTTGTCACTTTGTACACAGTGAGTGGGAGGGCCTTGACCCAGCCCAAGGGAGATGTCCCACAAGTGGTTGCAAATATGGACTAAATAGAGATCAAGAGGGGCATCTGAGCTATAGGTAGCGAATCAGGAGTCAACACCTAGAGGGGCCAGGGGTGCATGTCACAGGAGTGTTCAGTTTAATCCTTGGAGAGGATGAAAATAGCAGACAACACTTTAAGAGGAAGAGTCAGCAATGGTGAAAGGAAAGTAGAGGTGTTTGGGGGGAAGCGTGATTCAACAATAAGGGTGTGGAGGACAATGCCCATTACGACCTAGAAATCGTGTAGCATAAGAAAAAGAAGTGTCTCTTGGTTATAGCAACCAAGAGGCCATCATTGACTGGTAAGGGCATTTATAGTACAGAGGCAGAGAGAGAAGTCAGCTCACCACAGGCAGAAGATTGAATAAGAGGTGAGGAAGTGGAGACATGCTATATAATCAACACAGTCAAGAAGATGATGGAGGAAGTGAAGAGAGGGAATGGTAGATGGAGGGAGACAGAAGAGGAAAGAATTTTTGGCTTATTTTTGAGCCACTGGGGGAATATCTGACCCACTCTGGGGAAATCTGACTCTGGACAAAAAGCAGGATATGGGAGCCTGTGGCTCACATGTGGAAAATTTCTTCATGGGCAAACACTTTCACTTTCTCTGACAACCAGCTCTTATCTCTTAGGAAACTCCACTAACCTCAGGAGCTTCTAGGCTACTTGGTAGAAAGAATTGTAGAGTGTTTGACACTATCCTTGGGCCTC